GCGGCGCGCCCACGTTTTATTGAATAGACAATATTTTCGTCAAATTTCCCGCTTTTTTCGTCGATTTTCGTATGATTCTCATGAATCTTCAATTGAATTTTATTTAACATATTTAGGAAAAAAGCCAGAATTAAATAGACGAAATAAAAATGTTTCGAGATACGGTATTGAAAGCGCATTCATTTATTCAAAAAACTTTCGCTGTTTTTGCTCCAGGATTGCGCCTAAAATAAATTTTAATACCTTAGAAAACTAGAAAAATCGAATGTGACGACAGAAAAAAATTATACAGATTATAGTCTAATTTTGGGTTAATACGATAAGCCGACAAGGTTAACAAACTGCAAAAACTGAAAACAAATTTTGCAGCAATACGGAATGACCGTTGGAATCTACACTTCTTATTATGACTGGAACCAGATCACCAATGGATGGACCAGCATTGGAAACGATGTTCTCTTGTGGTACTGGAATGTTTTGGGAGGAGGTGTCAACGGAGAGACTCCAGCCAATTTCGCTGATTTCCGTGCTTTCGGATGCTGGACTGCTCCATCTGTCAAACAATTCGCTCAAGTTGAGCAAGTCTGCCAAATCACTGTCAACAGAGATGTCTACGCTGCCGGATCCATGCTTAAGGCCGCTGACGCTGTTCAAGAAGACGGAAAGATTTACGCTGGAGGATTCATCCATCAGTAAACAATCCTTCTTTCTTATAAGACACTATGTGCTACTTATATCTGTTTCCTTTTTGTATTTTTCTGGGAATTTGTTTTATATGATAAAAATCAATTCCGTAGAATTTGAGTTTATTTAAAAAATTTTAAAAAATTATTTCAAAAGTAACATGAAAAAAGAAACAAAACAAAACAAATAGAAGGGCAAAAATAAGTAACAAAACAAAACAAATAGAAGGGCAAAAATTAATTTTCTATATCAATATATGAACTATCTCCTCTGTCGTCATCCATATGATTTTCTTCGACTTTGATGAACCGATCTCCATAAATTTTGAATGTGTGAACTTCCAGCTGGGGAGCGAAATTCGGCATTGCATTCCTACGAAGCCTTCCTTGTGGGCTAAGATCGTACTTTGTGAAGTGTTTCTTGCACATATAGTTGACTGGATTTCTCCATAAACGTTCGCTTAACTCGTTTCCTATGGACTCCGCCCACATTGCAATTCGCGTTCGAGTCTTGGGAATGTTCAACATCGCTTCCTTCTCGTGTATTTCGAAACAATAACAACATTTGACTGGTCTGTGCAAGACTGCGTTCGGATAGATATGTCGATCGATTGGGAGATGCATGGGTTCTCTTCTAATAATTCGAAGCAACGAAGAGACCGATTCTGTGTTTTCCTTTTCGAATCTCTGTTTCCTCGGCTCACGGAAGCATTTCGGTACAATCGCATCGGCTTGAACATCTGATTTACATTCGATGGTTTTTTCACACGGTACATCTTCTTCTCGGACCACCGGACCCACTGGTTCCTGAAATTGAAGATGATACTTATGGGGTTATTCAGC